GCTGTCCCTTCCTTGATCACCATTAGCTGATCCTGGTCAATACTGCTTTTTTAGAAGCACGATGAGCAAGCGGCAAGAAGTGTGTGTTTAACAGGGCCTACGTAAAAATGTCCGATAAGAGTTAGGGGTGAAAGAAGGGGGATGGGAAAACCTACCGAGGTATTGCAAAATAAACTGATCCCAAATGATTCCAGAAGGCAGGTCGATTACCCCTGAAACAACAAACTGTCACTCTCCTAAATATCACATCTACCTTTTCTGTAAGATGAAGCAAATAAAAGTTCCAATACACCAAAACACGCTCAACAAGCCACATCTATGTGGACTGATCTATTTACAGCTGATCCCAGTGCCTGCATTTAAAAGGCAGGGTATAAAACCTGGCATCAGTAAGACACGGGAACGTGATAAGCATTTAAATGTGAGGATGTACACTATCCTACAGTCTTGAAGGAATTCATCATGATCGGCAGTCACACAAAGATAGAAGTGTTTTTTCTGTAATGCAAAAAACCAAAAAATGGGAAAACTGTGCAAATCCTTGGCCAGTCACTACTTTCAAACCTGATTTCCATGTCGTTGCATTTTGTGTATATAGCTACGTTCTAATTTCTTTCCACTGTGATGCACTTTGCATTGTATTTATGTGTATCATCAATGAAGGTTATGAAGAATATCCAAGAATCATCGCCTCCATGGCCAGTTGTAGGTATAACATTACTGTAACCACATTATATTTCTTTTCTTTTATTATGTAATCCGTTGTAATCACATTACAATTACCAATCAAGCAGTTGTGTTTTTTACATGTGATGCATCATCTTTTCAGTGATCTGAACAGTGAGCTTTTTCCCCGCTTCACTTGAACTGGAATTAAAAAAATACAAAATAAAAAACTGTAGCTGAGACATTCACAACCTCTGAGGAGTGGAGAGATATGAACATTACTTTTATTAAAGGAAGAGTGCTTTTTCTCTTTTTTGCCAGTCTCATAAAACTATTCGATACTGTTAGCGCAACAGTGATGCTTTTCAAGCATCTGTGACTATACTGGGAGACAGGCCTGTGATATATACATTTCTATAGCAACGCCATGCATGTACGTTCCCTAGTGCCCACAACAGCAAGACAAGCCCGGGCATTTGAGAGGAAGAGCCTCAAGTGCAGCCTCATCTGGAGCATCTTCAACAACTGTTGCTGCTAAAGGTGAAAACCACAAACTTGTTTCACCACTTGAGGCAAAAAAGTACAAACAGGCTGCAGAGGAGATATTAACAGCTGGTGAT